TCTGCACCGCTTTGTATAAATGAGCTGTTATCCTTCGATACAGCTTTCTGAGTGCCAGAATAAAACACGTACAAGGAAAAGGGTGCGTGAAGGGCAGAGCTTTTCTTCACCTGAGTGTTTTTCGCCTTTCAGCGGGTGTGAAAAGTTTGAAGCAGAGGAAAAATAACTTGGAACAAACTTCCCTTTAGTCATACGCACAAAGTAATTAAAATCCCATACCTAAACAAATATAAACAACTGATATTCTTGCTCCAGGCTTGTTCTGTAGTTTAAATGCTTTTGTCAAAGAGAGACTTTAAAACGGATTGTTAATTATACAGCGGCGAAAAAGTCAGTTAAAGTTAATGCTGTATGTAACGGTTGTTGGCATCTTTTAACTGTTCTCTGGGACCTTTACAAGTTTCCTTTACAAGGTCTTAAAACATGGGTCACTTTCCCGGTTTTTGCCGAAACATGCCTCCCTTTAAGGGACCTCTTTAGCAGTAAAAGCGGTTTTGATGGGAAAGGGAAGAGAGGAATGTGTGCGAGGTTTCGAGTGTTCGTAAAACTCCAGTAAAACGAGATCCAGAGAAATTCTCTGGAAAACAGAAAGGGTAAGGAAGTATAAGGGAAGGGTTTGTGCACTGGGTGGAGAGGATGCGTGGAGTGTTTTTTTATATATATATTGGAAGGAAATGCGATCTTATTCTAGCACAATGTGACTTAATATTTAGTATCATCAGTTTGTTTAGAGACAACGATTGCAGCCTTACTTTTTGTGATGCCATTTTTATTTTTAACAACACATTCCTTCTGGTGAGATGTTTCTGTGTATTGCATTAAACCCCATGATAACTTATTACATTTATTGGACTTTTTTTTTTCCCTAAGCAACACAAGTCCTTCCGAGGTTGTAAGAGACAGAAGCTAAAGGAACCACCCATCTTAACTTTTAGCTTTACCAAAAAAAAAAAAAAAACCTATCATTGCATAAAACTGTTTGAAAAAGAACCTTAAAAAATACATACTAATGCAGTAAGTATTTGCAGTATTCAGGAATTAAAATTCTATTTTTAGACTTCATTTCTCTTTCTTTTTTTTTTTTTTTAAAAAAAAGGAAAAAGGAAGAAGGAAATGCACTTTTATTTTCTTTTTATCCTTTATCCTTGTAGCCCTTCATATTTCCTCGGGGCCCTCTAGGCTGGGAGGCTTTCCTGCCTCTTTCTCCACCCTCTGTTGCCTTGTTTGAAAAGGCTGGAGAAGTGGGGGCTGTCATAGAGGAAAGGTGCAAACCCACCAGATCTCACTTGCTAGGATTTTCATGTAACTTCCAAGTCAGTTTAGAGAGCTCCTAATTTGCTACTTTAGGTGTGGGTATCACCCTCGGAGTCATGCGCAACGATTTTACATCTCATGCTCAGATTTGACAGAGTTCTGCTGGAAACAAAAAGAAAAATAAAGGGAGGGGAGTGGGTAAAGATAACGCGGAGTAAATATTTCAGCAACCAGCTTATACGGGAGAATAATGCCCCGTGGAATGTGGCTACAAAGCTGATTATTTTCTCCGGTGTTTCCCTTGTTCCCATGTGGGAAATGCCTTAGTCCCCATGGTGCCTGAGGCCTGCTGGTTTCCTGAGGCTCCCGCCAACTCTCTCCTGGGTATTTTGGGGTCATCGGGTATTTGAATGAGTGGAGCCTCTTCTAAGCCTCACCTAGCTCGGGGGAAAAATACTACATACAATTATCATTAATTATTGTTGTTGTCGTTACTAATGCACGTTAACTACAAGCACGACAAACCCGGGCATGCTCCCACCTGACTGACAGTTTACATAGAGGAGGGAACACCTTACAACCCTCTCCGTAACCCGCTTCCTCCCGAGCCTTCGGGTGCAAATCCCCGTAATTAACTCAAATTAATTGGCCATTTGCTACCCCCGACTCCCAGGCTTCGGGTCAGGCGCGGGGTTCGTCAGAGCCTTGAGGCAGCCGCGGCCGGCGGCGCCTTTGAGGGGGGCGCGCGGCGGCGGGAAAGCCTCAGCGCCCCACGGGAGCCCGAGGGGCAGCCGAGGCGAACGGGGGGCGCAGAAATATAAAGTGTGAGGAGAAGGGCGAGCGCCTTCCTTCCCGCTAGCCCCGGGGAGGATTCTCCTCGTTCCCCTGCGCTCCCGAGGGAAGGCAGGAGGGCGGGCGGCAGCGCGGGGCGGTGGCGGCGAGGCGGTTGGTGAGGGCGGGTAGTTCAAACCCAAGCGAGGGAAAGCGGCGCCTCGCGAGCAGCCGCTGTGGGTGGAGGGAAGCGGCTCCTCACTAAGGCAACGGGAGCCGGGCGGCGGAGCCGGCGGGGTCCCGGGCGGGCGAGCGGCGGGGGTCTCGCTTCTCCCTCCTCGGGGAGCCCCGCCGAGGCAGGGGAGTTTGGGGGATTTGCCTGAGGAGGCGGCTGGTGCCGGCGCCCCAGGTGCTGAGACCTCCCCACCTCTCAGGTGTTGTTCCCTAGGGAGCCGTCAATTATCTTCATCGCGGCGCAATTAAACCGAACAGTGAACGAATATATAGAGCAACTGAAACGCCTCGTTTCCGAGTTGCTGTTAAAGTGCTGGGTGCCGTTTCTCCATAGTTTTTCCTCTTCTGCCCCCCCTTCCCCCCCCCCTTTTTTTTTGCCTTAGGACTTCGGTAGGGGTAAATCTTATTCTGAATACAGCACCCTTGCACGTGAAGATCTCGAGTTGCTTCACAAATAAGGGTAAGTGACCCCCATGTTACAGCAGCCTTCCTCGGCACTGATGTCTCCCGGGACCGCCCTGGTTTGAGACCTCGGAGCCCCCAGATTCCCGGCCAAATATAGCGTTGTTGTAGCTGTGATAACCGTTAAAGTGCCACAGCGCTTGGTCTTCATATGTGGCGAGCAGTGATAAACAGAGACAGAGAACAATTTTTTTCAGGGATAAAAACGACCGTTATGTATTATTTAGGAAACTAAATTAACATAAGGGTCAAATTTAACTCCATCTTGGAGCTGATGCCTCAGTGTCACTTGTATTGCATTTTAGTAACCAACATTTTCCTCCCCCCCCCTCCTCCCCCCCAGCCTCTTCAGGGCATACTGCAAGAATAAGCTTGTTACCTGTTATTCCTTGCATATCCCAACCTTGTCCTTAGTTTAGTTAGATTCTCTGAATACAAATCTGTACAGAGCACTGGATTCTGTAAACTGTCAGGAAATGTGCAGTTCACTTGTGTATCAGTTTGGGAAGCACCAAACCATCTCTAAGGATGGGAGAAATGGATAGAGTGAAAGGATCTGTGATCAGCAGATACTTCAAGATCTCCAGCTGAAAAAGACTTTAAAATATGTAACAAATGTGGTAGATCAAACTCTTCTCCTGAGAAGACAGGAAGCACCTAGCACACACTAAACAATTCTTCAAAGACTTATTTGGCCATCTCTTATGAGTACAACACCTCATCTTACTTTGAGAGATATTCAGCAACCTGGTGAGGCTTTTCCTTCAGCGCTGGATTTGTAAGATGAGACTTGGAGTTGAATCAATTCCCACCTAGTATAAGTAGTACTCTTTTAAATAATTTTCCACTTCAGTTTTGCATAGCCTTTACTCTAGGATCTGTCTTAAAGAGTTATCACTGACAGTGTTCACTCTGTGTCTGTATTGTGGTGATTCCTTAAGAGTAATCACCACAAAATCAATATAAGAAGCTCACAGGCTCCTCCTACTGGGCCTAAACCTACTTACAGCATATTTTGGGTTTTTTTTTTTTTTTTTAAACAGGTTTTTATTTGCTGAAAGGTTTTTCCTTCATCTCTTTATCATTGTGATCTCTTACACAGCTGCTTTTCTATGACTTTTCTACCTCTTGAAACGCATTTTTAATAAAGACTTTTGTAGTGTGTGTATATATGTTATTGCATGTATATATGTATGTTATTGTGTGTGTGTGTATATATATACGTTTTTAAAGATTTCCCCTGCTGTCTTGTTTCTCCCGTGGAATGTCTGAGAACAAAACCACAGGCATGAGTTTTATTTGTGTCGTGTCCTGAACACGCTGCTTGAACACTAACTTTGTAAGCCTGCAAGCTTATGAACTTTTGTTAAATATATGGGCAATTTGATTTATGTCTAAAGAAGTTATTAATGGCTTTCAAGGTAAGTGTGGGTGTGTGATTTTGTGAGATTGAAAATTTGCATAACTATAGCATTCAAAACTCAAGTCTCTCCATCAATATTTTTGGGAGGAATATCCCTTGATATTTTTTAGCTTCCTGCAATTCACCTATAAATCGAGCTTGAATAATATGAGACCTATTCTTTCTGTAGATTATACAAAGGTAATGGCCTGTTGTTAGTACCAGGCTCTTGTAGCTTCTTCTTCCTTTTACAAAAAGAAAGTTTTGCTGAACTGGTCTTCTCCTTATGATATGAATAATCAATTCCAGAGCTGCAGTATCAGCATGGCTATACAGGCATTTTCGCCAGGTTCTTACAGTCTGTTCTTGTCCTGCTCCTCTGAATGGGATAAGTTTCAATCTGCCCATGGCAAAGGAATGCCTTCTGTATTACAGTGGCCATGCAGAGTGCCTTCAGCTCTGGTCAAGAATGTTCAGTTCAGTTTTTGAACTGAACTGTTAGTGACTGGAGGGAAGCAATAACAGAGCTAAGAAATCCTGATATTTAGTGGAATGAGTAGGTGTCTTAATTCAGTGGGGCAAAGACTTTAGTCACTGTATCATATTTGAAGCTTGTATGTTCTAATTTATCTCATTTATGATATGTTACGCATTTTATTTTTTCATTCTAACCATTTTGATTACGTTTTATCTTTGTGTTCATGCATAAGCAGTGTTTTCATTAAGACTAATAAAATGCTTTTGTTAGGGCTATTATCTTGCAGACTTCCACAAAGCCTTTTGACTACTCTACATGTCTTTTGGTGACCAATGTGACTGTTAATTTCAGGCATAAAATTGCTTTCTTCATTTACAGAGTCAAAGTGCCAAGGAGAAGATGTCAGAGAGTCCTTCAGTCATGTTCAATATTCTTAAAAGAAATAGGCTAATGTCTCCAAGAGACAGTGCTAAATACTCCAATTCTAAAGGCTCATGTTCCACTTCAGGATTTCTGGACAGCAGATGTGATGAGTCATTACAAGATCTTGGTGCAGAACAGAAAGAGGAACCAAGCACAGCAGATCTGTCATTGCTACATGAGCGTTCTGAGCAGAATCATTCAAACTTATTCTTTCCTGTGTCATCATCTATTGAAAATGAAATGAATTCCATCTCTCTATCAGAAAGAAGAGAAGCAAACAGAAGTAAAGATATTTTTGAAACTCCTAAAGTGGGTAAAAAAACCTCATCACTACGTAGGAGACTGCTTTTATCAAAGATTGCTCCAGACAGCACCCCTACAGGATGCCACGAAGGGCAAGACAGTTCTTCAGGAGGTAGCAGGAAAAAAGTACTCTCCTGTGTTTTGAGCTTTGAAGAGAGACTTTCACAAACTTCAGGTTCTCCAAGAGATAAAAGTTACAGACATCTTGCAACTAGCAGTTCAAAAACTGAAGAATCTAGTCCTGACAGCCAAAAGAGGAGACTATCCTTCTCACAACAAAGGTCTTCCACATTAGATGAGTCCAAGTGTAAGGATGCAGCCTTATCAGAACCCGAATGCCTATCTCCAATTCAGTGCAAGCACAGTGTTAGTAATGAATTTGGGGAAGATGTCCTTATGAGTGTTAGTGGTGGGTCACTTAGCACGCCCAGTAGCAGTATGTTACCAGAGCCTGATGAGGGTAAGTCCCTGACATCCATCCACAGTGTTGTAGAGAACTTCAACTTTGAACTATGTGACAGAAACACTCCCCCTGTTAAACTGGTGAGTTACCAAAATCTTTCCACACCTGAGGATAGTGGATATAACTCGCTTCATTTGGATAAATCGGAAGACTTGCCCTCTGATCAGGAGGGATCTTTCCAAGAACTCATTCAAAATCATAAAGGTGCTTCCAAAAATCTGGATAGTAAAAGAAAGACAAGAAAACTTGAACGGGTGAGAAGGTTATCAACTCTTCGGGAACAGGGTTCACAGTCAGAGACAGAAGATCGTGTCAGTCCTCCTAATTCAGTGTATATTTTAACAGAAGAAAGAAACTCTCTCAGTGAAGACCATACTTTGCTTTCAAAAGAACAGACTAATAAAGACTTTGTTCTAAACCATGGAGATCTCTCAAGAACTCCTGCTCTGCAAATAGTTCATGAAATTTGCTTGCAAAGCCAAAGAGCGGACCAAAAGCAAATCCCAGAGAATGCTGTTGGGAAAGAAATATTTGCATTGGAAGAAGTTCTTGCTGGTCTTATAGGCAAAAAAATGGGCCTTGAAAAATTAGATATCTTAACAGAACTGAAATACAGAAATTTAAAACATGTTCTTGCTATAGTGTTAGATGCTTTGACAGTGGAAAGTCTATGCAAGTAAGTACTATACCATGGTACTTACTGTGCAGGTAAGGTCTATTACTATTCAAAATATTGAAAATGCATTTCTGCTAATGGATTGGAATAAGGTCTGGAATAGTGGGAGTTGTCAATTGAATTTTTGCTGCTGTTTTAGGGGAGATCAAAGTGTCACCTGTAACCATGTGGTTCTTTCTAAGTTCTAAAAATATGTAATATTAAAAGGGAGGGGGAGAGGGAAAAGCCCAGTGATGTTTACCAAACTTAAAGCTAAATCACTATACTTATTAAATTTTTTAATGTATGAAAAGTTTAATTAAGCCTAGAAAGGCTTTTTATTTAATTGTATTAATTTCATTCATTATAAGCATAACACCAAAATTGCTCAGCCAGCTTAAAAATCATGGGCATTGTTCTGGGTTCATGTTAATTCAATAGGATTTTTTTTTTTTTTTTTTTAGAAATCTAGTTTATGTAGAAAGAAGAAACTTGCTTCTTTTTGTAACTTAAAGAACTGCTATTATCTATACTGTGATTATACATGAGTGTTTTATATGTAATTCTATGAAATGATACGGAAGAATACAGTTCTCTTATAAGATCTAGATCCTTATAAGATCTAAGCTCCTGTAGTATATAGCATCTGCCAAATAACTAAATTAGTACGTTGAATTATACCAAAATCTTGATGTTGTTTCACTATTATGACTTAAAAAAAAAAAAAAAAAAAAAAGTGAAAGTAGGTAACTTTTTTGTTCATTTGTTCTAGCATTTGGAAAGTAAGCAAAAACTGGCGTGAAATTGTCATACAAGACAAAAATGCAGACAAGAGGAGAAAGTCATATATGAAACACCTCAAAGAAGCAGCTGCGGTAAGGTTTCTCTCAAAGAAAATGTTTTTTTTTCAAGTAGGGAAGAACATAGGTCAGATGAAAGAGTTAACATCTTGCAAAACTCAAAGCTGATCGTGACAGTTTTAATGTAAGTATGTAAAGAAATTTAGCTTTAGAATGTGACTGGTTTTATTGCTTTTTAACTGGGCGTAGTTTGAACATACGATTTCTAACTGGTGTGTGTGTGTGTGTTTGTGTGTGTACCTGGTTTGTCCCTGCAACTTGACAAGCCCTGTGCATCCCCACGCTTTGGTGTAACCTTATTTTAATCGTGACAAAATTTTGTTTGCTCTTTCAATGCTTACTATTAAGGCATGTCCTGCTTCAGACACCTGATGACCAGGAGGGAGTAAGTGCTAAAAGATAGTTGGTTTGTTTAGTGTGCTTATAGAACTATTTTTTTCTCTTGTCCACTTAGTAAATACAAACTTTTGATGAGAAACCTATGCACTGCGCATAGTTTCTTTTTGTATCCTGTTGCTGTTATACAAACCCCAAATTACATAAATCTATTTGCTTTTTTCTATTCTTTTTCCCCACTCCTTATAATTGTCATCTTTCACAGGGGGATTTTTTGAATGCTGGAGATGCTGTCACAAGATTTACTCTTCTCAGCAGATCTGCTCTAAGGCCTGTTCAAGCTCAAGCCAAAACTCCTGTAATAAAAACACCACCTTCTCGCAGTGAACTTCTAATACCCATGAGATGCAACACATTTCCCCGGTCAAATAGTAGGCAGGAAGAATACATAAAAGTAAGCAGCTAAGAAACTTCCATTCTCAGAATTTAGAAGAGTTTGAGCTATAAAAATTCACTGGCTTTTCCCTTCCATCTCTTGCTACAGGTTGCCAAAACTCTGTACACTGATGAGGCTTTAAAACCCTGTCCAAGATGTCAATATCCTGCAAAGTATCAGTTGGTAAAGAAACGAGGACTCTGTAGCAGAGAGGCGTGTGGATTTGACTTCTGTATCTTGTGCCTACATGCTTTCCATGGGTCAAAAGATTGTAGTAGTTTATCTGCGAAAAGGCAGAACAGAAAAGATGCTCCTCCAGGAAGTGCCCAAAGCAAGAGAAACTTGAAAAGACTCTAAATTTGCAAGAAATATAAGCCCTTGCATTTTGCTCATTTTCTCCTTCCCCTAAACTCCTGATCTTGTTCATATTCTGTCTAAATATAAAATTTCAGTGTATACACTTTGAAAGTCTCATTCACTGTGGTTTTGTTTGCTTATCAAGATGATGACTTCTTGTGTGTATACACTAATCATTTTAGCTTGTTTTTGTTTTTTAAAAAAGGGAACGTTTTAAAAAAATTGTCGTTTTACCTGTTATGTAGCTAGGCACTTATTAACATCTTAATTTTTCAATAAAGTACCTTAAATGTAGTCTTCAATATCTAACTTACAGCATCTCACAGATGTTTAAACATGCGATTCTTGTCTTGGTGACAAATTAAAGAAAACAAAACTTTTTAAAAAATTATTTTGTGTGGGTTTTATTTATTGCTTGCCTTAAGTTACTGTAAATATTTTTAAAATGTTAGAGTGGAACATAAAGCAACTATGTAATGGAATTACTACTACCTATATAAATGATAATATCACAAAAGCAATGTATTAGCTGTTTGATTTTAGTATTTAATTTGTTTTTCTTTACTTAGCCTGCATAATGCAGGTCAATATACTAGTAGTTTCTAAATTAAGCTTTTTTGTTTCTTCTGTTGATGTTCTGTTGTGTCACTCTTTCTTATAAAGGTACACAGTAACTAATTGTGAGTTTTAGAGATGTTTAATAGTTTTTATTGCAGGAAAAGTTGATATCATGAAGACGAAATTCCCATTTGTGAGAGAAATTTCCAAATTGTGAGGTAGAAAAGTGTATTACCAAACATATGCACTCAGGTGTTGGAGTAACTTGATCATAATAATGTTAGTAGGGATACTAACATTAGGGGATGCCAGTAGCTGTATCACGGTAAGTATGGCATGTCATAGTATTAAGACACCTCTAGCCATCATCATGTTATACTTTTGTTAAGTATCAAAGTAATGCCTCTAATATAAAGGAGAAAAGCGAAATGCAATTTTCAATGCATCCTTGAAGGTGATGGGAGAAGTACCACAGACAGTGAGATGACTCTCAGTTCTGATGTGAAGTACTGCAATCTGGCCCAGAAAGACCTGGGGAGTAAATCACGTTGAAAACTTCAACGATAATTCTTCAAATATTTCTCTAACAGATGCCCCTTTGAATGAGAAGCCATATGGCAACTCAGCTGAAATCAGTTGCTGATAAGCAACCTTTCATTTTGAGGAAAAAGGCCTGATGTTTAGTATGAGAGATATATCACAGAATGGATGAGGTTGGAAGGGACCTATAGAGATCACCTAGTCCAACCCTCCTGCTCAAGCAGGGATGTACTTATCTATATATGTATTTATATGTACTTCTCTAAAGTGTTTGCTTTGCTAAATCAGAATAATTTAGGGAAGATGCATGTGCAGAGTTGTTTAGTGTTGAGCTACTGGATTAAAGAGTATTATTTTTAACATCTATAATGTTCATCCCAAAGGAACAAAGTTGAGAAGGGAGGAAAAAAATCATATTTCAAAATTTTGATCACTTTTTCTATTTTGGGATATTGGGAATTTCTTATTCTAAACTTGTATCACAAAAGAAATCTGTTTCTTGAATCACGTGTTCCTTGTTCAGTTAGGTCTGTCATGGATGCAAATGCTACGCTCTGGTGAAAGTTCTTTGCTGCCATCTACTGATACGCTGGGAGGGAAAAACTGAGCAAGACAGATTGGCTTCAACAGGTAACGACTTTCTGCAAAACGATTTTTATATATACACAAATATTTTAATAAGATTTTCTTTTAGTGTTGACATAAGAGAGAAATGAAATATTGATACACTCAATTTGTGGTTAATGGTTACTGTTTAATGGACTACAAGTCCTGTTACAGTTATCTAATAGCCTCTAATGGTTTGAGTGAAGGGAATCAATGATTTCAATATGTCTAATCATTCTTTCTTCATTTATAGAAATGAAAGACCACAGACAGGGCAGCCTGACTAGGTAGCTAGACTGATAGTACAGAGAAAAGAGATGCAAAAGTGGCCCTGAGGTAGAAGTAGTATAGTGGCAAGGAACAAGAGTCTTCTCAAATATGCTGCCTGTGATCATTCTCAAGCCCTATGTTTTCTCTTAATAGCAACAACTCATTGTCACTATTAAGAGGAAAGGGAGGAGTTACTTCAATGAATGAATGAGGAGTGACTTGACTTCAATATCATGGAATATTGAGGTTTAAGTTAATACTAAAGAAAATATTGCACTTCTACTCATTCTCTTTTGTATTTTAATTCTTTCCTACTTAGGCCTGGCTTATAGTGGGTGGAGAAATATTGTCTGCAAAGGAGGCCTGTGCAAAGATTTCCAAAAGTGATGGTTGAGCCTGCGCTGTGGCTTTAAATTCTAAAGGGATTTCTTAGAAATACCCTTTGGCAGACCTTGCTGTAAGAACTGTATGTCTCAAAAACAATCATAAACCTCGAGCGGTTTGAGAGTGGGAAATGGAAATTTCCTAATTTTCTGCTTACTATTTCCTTGGTGACAAGCCTTGGAGGGGTGGGCAAAATGTTTTAAAACCTTTACAGCATGGAGATGGTTAGTATATCTGTTCTGTTTCTTAAATCTACTGAAGGAGCTTGAAGGTGGCTCCATCAAGTCATTTTTACTGTTCCAATTATTTGTTAATCACTAATGTCCTTCAGGCAGTTCAGGCCATTAAGGTTAATTTTGATAGAAATAATTCCTGGTTTATATTTTAGGGAAGGAGTGCGACAGATGTCATGGAACCTAATACCAAGCTCTTAGAGCAGCTCATCAGGCTCTTAAAGCTAGGTCGAATTCTTCTCTTATTGCCTTTGCATTGGAAATCTGTTCCAGATAGCTCTGCTAGTCAGAGAATTTCGAACTTTACTGGTCACCTTTTTCAGCATTGTATGCATTTCACATTAAGGAGTTCTCTTCTGTACAACTGTTCCTCACCTTTTAGACGCTTTCCCGCCCCCAGAATTATGATTGTATAATATAAATATCCTCTCACACTTTATTTCTTTAACAGAACAAGCTGAATTTAATTTCATCTCATAGATTCAGCCTCTCATATTTCTTAACAGCTATCCAGTGTTTCTATTTGATTGTGTTCTTTGAATCTATGCAGTTGGTATTCCAGGTAAATCATCTTCAGGACTTTGAATAACATTAGTGTTTTCCTTTCACTACTAGAAATTCTTTGACTAATGCACTCTAAGACTAGCATTCATCTCATACATGGCCTCTTATGTATTTGCAGTATAGTCACTTGGTACATCACTTTCACATGATTGTCTCAAACTTTGAAAGGATAAAATCCCATTTTCTTCTATAAATTAGATAACTTTATTGCTCCTGAAGGCTGTGACCACTTTGATACTAACTAGTGGCGCTTTGTGCTACTGACCTTCAGGCTCTTTTCTTTCCTCACTTCACTTCTGTGTTGATTTGGTGTTTTCTGTGAATAAACCAGCCCTACTCTGTTTGGCATCTTGGCCAAACAACAGTTTTGTCAAATTCACTCATATAATGGTATATTATTCTTGAGACTGAATTCTAGGAACTCCACTAGGATTTTTTTGTTTGTTTTTAACTCAGTCTTGTGTAGTCACGTATAGGTCATGGTTTTATAATGTGATGGAGAATGTATAGCTTGAGCCTCTTATTCAATGTGGTGCTCTTGCTCTTAGTGTCCTTGACTTATTTGTTCTGCTATTGGCAGACCTCATCATAAGCAAATCTGCTGGCTTAATTTTCAGCTGCTTTAGTTCCCCAAACCAGATAACCGTGACATCAGAGTGAACACTAATATTGGCACAAGGGAAGCAGCAGGAACATGCAGTAGGTGTTGGGGAACATTAGTGCTCTCAGCAGCAGCTTGTACTTGGATTGGCTTGGCCATACTGTAAACCTGCACTGTTTCTCTTTTACAAGATGTTAATAATTGTTTGTTTTTGTGAAGTTAGAAATAATCCATGAACAAATATTAGATAACCCAAACTGCAGGATCTTTTTTTTTCTCTCTCTCTTTTTTTTTTTTTTTTAAATGGAACTCCTAGTTATAAAAACATAGGGTAGGCCATGGATGCTTGTATTCTCATCGGGGAAGGTTTAGAGGATAGAAATCTTATATAATTTTTGATGCAAAACATCTAGCAGATTGTGCTATACACATTAGATGTTCCCTCCTTCCCCAAATTCTACTTGGCAGCTGCATTTATTCTTATTTAAATAAAACACAGAAGCAACCTTTGTTTTTATAACTTCCTGAGCTCTGGTTGATTGTGTTAATTACTTTTATAAAAAGTATTAATATCATGTCATGCCTGCAAGTGGCTGAAGTGATAGAGGTATATAGTAACTTGCAGGCAGAAGAGGGACAGTTAGCTGGAACATTAAAGTGTCCTAGATAGCCGTAACTAGACTTGCTAAACATCGTTGTTTGGAGTGTCCAAGGTGCTTGTAGAATTGGACAACAGCTGTGCATAGGTTTTCTATTTTAACAAAAATGCTAATCTTATTCCTAAAGTGCTTCATTTCATAGTCCTAACTCATATTCAGTTTAACTCATGTTTAAGTTCCCAAAGTACTGTGGTGTACGAAATAGATTATCCAGGGCCTGAAGAGCAAGTCTCCTGGAAATGCTTCACTTTGATAGGACTAATTAGCTAAACACCTGCCTGGATCCCATTGACCTTTATATGAAGTTTTCCTTTGGGATGGATCCAGTATGCATGTTCCTTATGATCTTTTAGTAGATTAGATGTCATACAGATTAAAAGCAAAGATGTTGCTCTTAGCACAAGCACACAGATTAATAGTGTTGTGCACACTTTTTTTTTTTTTCCAAAAAGAGGAAGATGTTCTAAAAAATACTATGTGATGCAGTTATTTCCTAGTCTTGCTGCTGAAATTGTTTTTCTTGAGAAGTAACTCAAGACTCCAGCTCAAATAAAGGCAGTAAGAATGAGCATGGCTTTTGGGAAG